GGAGGCAGACGCAAGGGAAGTCAGCCGTCAGACAGCTTAAACTGACATGTTTTCTATTTCTTGGATTTTACTGCATAACAACAATTTAATAATATAATAATAATCCTTTGTAGGAATGCAAGATTAATGGCAATTTGAATAGATGCAATTAGCAAATCGTAAACAACAAAATATCCAGTCTTATTCTGCATAAATACTGCTAACCCTGTAGTTTTAGATCTGTACAAACATGCTCTAAATTGTATTGTTAAAATATAAATCACAGATCTAATCGCAATTATTGCACGCTTAACTCAGAATTTGGAGTTCAGTATTTTGAGATGACCAATATCTTTATACAGAATTGACACAAGAAAAGCTTTGTGTTGGCTTAGGGATGCTTTGGCCCGTGCGACAAAATAAAACTGGAGCTTTTAGTCTCGTCGTCTAAACATACGTCAATCATATTGTTTGTCGGTACAACAATGTGGGAAGTCGCCTACACTAATCTTTTACACACACAGATTTCTTGTCTATAATCTCCCATTTCCAAAGCTGCATCTTATAAATCAACTTAAACCCTAAACTCTGAATGGCATTGTCATCCTTCTTGCCTGTCACCTGCTCTTATTTACATCCACTTAAAGAGCTTAGAGCATGTACAGTGTTTGCGCGAGTGTCATATCCACAGCCTAGCCTAGAGATCCCTCCCATGAGACATTAGCACTAAATGGTAATGCCCCTACACATTCAGACTGGCTGTTTGTAGTATAACAGTTCTTCCTTCTAAGTCGACCACACAAGGATAAAAATATCAAGAGATGGTAAAAACAGGCCCGCCATGAATAAATGAATAGGATGATGGATGATGTCTCCAAAGAGCAGATACTTTCTCATAGATGGAATGCTTAAAATGAGATTCAATTATTAATTTGCAAAAAAGGAGGAAAGAGGAGTGGAGACAAAGAGAGATTAATATCTGGTCATATTTGGTAGTGGTGACAGACAGAGCTATGCCATGTTTTTGGGCAAATAAGACAATGAGCAAAGTCTATAAATGCGTATCAAAAGGGTAGGCAAAAAATGGTACATTCTACAGCACAATAACAACCCAGAGTTAATAACACCCCAGTTCAAATCAAAAGCTTGCATAGTTTGTTTCTTAATAATTTTATCACACATCACACTTCAACTTCGCTCTGAATTTATTGGACTATTAAAACACAGAGCTCATAATCTGTATTGATTTAGAAACTTCCAGCTACTGGCTAGTACTGAGTCACACAGAACTCTTTGAAGCGCTGTTTACTCTATTTTGAGTGTCATCACTCTTTCATGACACTAGATGTTTAGGGTAGTTATTACTGGTCCATGTCCTGAAGGTCACTTCAGCTCTGAAAAGTAATGATTTCACATATAGGATTAAGGCAAACTATTAATTTTTCTCCAGCTTTACATAGAAGCAGTAATATGGCATCTGTTTTCCTATTTATTACAGTTATTAGAACAATAACACTTCAAGTTATCTCTTGTCATTCCCACACACCTCTCATCTACCAGTACCATTCATCTACCTGCCACATTGTGACCACCATGCGTGCAAAATGCGAGTAGTGCGCACTGTGCGTAGAACAGTGTCTAGGACATCACGTGTGGACAGTTATGTTGGGCTGAAGTTCTGGAGGCAGTGGGTTGGCGTGCACTTATTGGATTGTTTTGCTTCACTTCCCCATTTCATGGAAGACACGACACAGGCATCACTTCTTCACCTCTCAAGACTAGATGTGATAAAAAGCCCTACAGTACATGAAGCGGACAAAAGAATCTGGACTAGCTTTTAGGCCAGTGGGAATGTAGCCTTGAGATAAGTTTCTAGTGAGCAGTTTGGCTTCTGTGGATCGCCTACTGTCTGTTTATAATGATATCTATAGACCTATAAACTGCCCTAATCACCACTGATACTGAAAACAAAAGCCAAAATGTGACAAAGACTAATTAACACATTCATGACATGTCCTATGTCAATAAAGCGTACAACAGTGGTGCAACAACATGCTGTGGTGATGCTATGGTGATATTTAACATAAATGTAATTGTTCCTATTCTAAGTGAGATACAGCTATATTATGGTTTCCTGTAATATCAATGTATTCCTTGTAGTAAAATGCAGATGAGCACCAATTAACAAGCTTTTAGGTTACAAACAGTAGTGTTTTTTGAGTCACATCATATTGATGTCCATCTGTTATCCTCCAAATTATAGTTTTCAACAGCATATACTTAGATAATTACAATAAAATTATGCATTAAGAGCTCTGGCTGATCTGCATTTTAATCCTCTAATTTTCTGAGTAGAAAACTTACCTGATAAATGCTTCATCTCTCTCTTGTCATTATTTATGACCAAAACATGAAATGATGAATATTCCCTGCTGGCTGAATCCTGACAAGCAGAACTATCCTCTTATACGTGTCACCTACAGGCATGCAGAACGTTATGTAATGAGCACTACATGGGCTACAGTATGTTCTCTCCTTGTCTGACAGCTTCTTAGAATACATGTATGATAATGAAAGAGGCTAAGGATAAACAACAGCCTCCACTGTACACAAAGATATCTGGCAGCTGGCATGGAAACCAATATTTTAGTAAGGGGAAGGCTGGTCTGGTTTGATTTGTTATTTTGACTCAGAGGATTCCTGGCACAGACCTTAAGAGGCCCGCTGGCATCCAAACAGATTCTGTATTTACAGTATACAGGGGAATAGCTCGTTGCTGGCAGGGCACTTCTACTTCCCCTTAGAGCTAACTGCTGACGTATGACACTCTGCTCATAGCATTCAAGCCCCCAAGCAGAAGTAGCGAGGGGATTTATCTGGCCTCTAAATGCTACAGTAATTCTGAGTTTAAACAAGCTCCAGAAACACCACACATGGTCTGCCAAATTGCCTAGTTGTGCAAAACCCTGACACTAATATCAGCCTCAGAATGGTGTCATCTTTTTTACAATTTTAGTGGGATATTTTAAAAGTATTACAATTTTGTGTTAACTACTGAAAATGTACTGCAAGCAGACTCTCTACGGATAACTTGGCTCTGAAATAGGTGAAATCTCACAAACATCTCACAGACTTCATTAGCTTCACCTTAGTATTTACACTTGCAGACTTAGATGTCCATCACTGTCAGTCACTTAGATTAATTTTAAGATGAATTTATTCCTTTATGGGTTCCTTTAATCTATTCTTGGGTACGTGACACCCATTTTCAGCATTATCACTCTAAATGAATTTCTAAATAATATTATTCAACTCAACTGTGCACAAATATGTATTCCATAAATTACACATAGTTTTAGAGTGAATTTGTGTTTCATTTCTTAGTATTTTCACACTTAACACTAAAATGTCCTGCAGTGTGACTGTAACACAGAAAAATCTAGAACAAGCCTGTTGTGTCAAAGATGGTTAATAAAGGCGTTAGCAAAAAAAGAAGCATGTATACATTATTTATTATTACACCTTTATTGATACTTTAAATCTGTCTTTTTAAATATGTGACATGAAAAATCACATATTTAAAAAGACAGTTACACAAAAACATGTATGCACCAGTAAGAGCTCTGGAGTTAAGGGTTGAAGTTAAGCTCAAAATTAATAATAATAATGATGTTCTTATTTTTGTAAACTCCAACCTTTCTGAAAAACTTTGAACATGTACTTATTTGAAGTCCTGTGGTGTGACAGCTGTATTACTTGAGAAGGCAATTCTACAAATCTACAATTCTCCAACAGTTCTAATTGTTAAAAAGATATTTTTTAAGAATGGACAATTACATAATTATTGAACTAGCACTATTGACGTGTTATGTTGTTTATTCAGATTTTTATGTCAGGCCAAATTTGTAGTGAATGTTCAGCGGGGTGAAAGGAAAAGTCACTCTGCAGGGGATATTAAAATGTCTAAAATTAATAGTTGCACCAAAAATGATGTGATGTTTGTGAAAAGGCTTCTTGAGCTGATTTGTTTTTGAAAATATTTTTGGGAATTTGCTACAAAGGCGTGACACTGCAGGACAGAAAAAATGCGTACCCTGTTACAAAAATGTTGTAATGCTCACTAAAATATGATTAAATTACACTTTTTAAAATTGTGATTTGGCTATGAATTAGAACAGACATTAGCTATAACCTATACAGTAGTACATGTGTGACTGTAGGCCTCTTGTATGATGACAGAATCGTTAGCTACTTGCTCTAGGCATTGTTAAATTGATCATAATGCAATTCAATTACTATTGGGTTTTTCAAAACAATAATCTACCTTTGCGCCCCTGTTTTCCACCTACCCACTGACAGAAGATACGTCAGCTGCATTATCTAAAATTGAATGTGCAAACCACATTCTATGGGGAGTATAACTGCCTGTCTGAAAGGATACCCAGCTAAAGCAAGATGAAACACCTGGTGTGACTGACGGGGAAAGGACTTGTCAACTCCAGCTTACTCCGATCACATTTCTACTGTAATCAACGCAGCAGTAGTGACACATTCCATGGTTTAAACCTGATCAAAAGAGGCTGTCTCCTTTTTCCGGAGTGGTCTGTCACGGTAAAACCGGCAGAGAAATAACAAGCCAAGAGGACCACTAACCAACTTTTCTCACTGTCCGTCACAAAATCCATCCCAGCTCTGGAGAGATCTCAGTCCTCATCCTTGTAATTAGACAACCGATACCTCTCCAATCAGCTATTGAAAGTGAGGCGCCTACGGGATGAGGCAATTACCCTGGCACTGGTTGGAGGATCTCTCATTGGTCCAAAAGCCTGATGAAGTCTTATTAGTGCTGTGGAGGGTTCAACTTGGATGGATGGTTGGAAAGATGGTCCAGAGAGTGGGATGGAGCCCTCCCGACACCTGACACCACACTGATATGAACCAGTGGGCTGTCAGGACTGTCACGGGTCATTGCATTCTTGTCTGCATAGAGATCCCGCCCACCATATAGACTTGCGACTTGCCTTTCTGTAGACGATCATATTAGGCGAGTCTTCCTCCGGATCTGTGCTGCCTGGTGCTCCCTGCTCCCTCGACCCCTCTGCCATCTTGTACTGAAAAACAACCCTGTCAAGGAAATAGAGGCACAACATGAGCACTATGAGAGACACAGGCAGAATGTAAGATGACGATTTGATAAACATCAGTCAGCTTCTTTATTCCCCTGGGGAGCAAAAATTCCTCACAGTCTTTTATCGTTGTGACATTCAGCTGCCGAAAAACTGTGTGTCTGGGAAATGGGATGCCTGTCACTGAGGGGACAGATAACAGGCTCAGGTGGACGATGCATATTAACTAACACATTAATCTTAAACAGTAAGTAAAGTATAGCATTTTATGTTCCAGTAAGTATGATTCATTGGCTTGGTTGTTCTCACGTGCCTAAGTGTTGGTTAACTGCAATCATATGATGCTTTCTCAAATCCAATGTTACTTCTATTGCTTTCAAGCCAATTTATTTACAGCCTCCACACCCTCCCATTCTGCAGCCTGCATCCCCACTACCCGACCCTCCCTCTTGTACAATCTCTCTGGAGATTTAATTCCGCTTAATAAGGATTTCCATACCGTCAGTTGCCGAACGCTTCAACAAGCCCCCATAGCTTTTCTACCCTTTACCACTGAGGGTTCCTAACCATTTAAACAGGTTAAACCATTTCCATGACCTTTTGTCAAGACTTAAATGGGCTACTACACAATGGGCTACTACACAATCATTTGCACAATCAGACATTAATAGAATACAGCTTTCGCTGTAGTGTTCAATGTATTGAAGGTGGAATGTAATCTCTTGACAGGATTTTATGCAGGCACAGTATAAATTGTTCATACGTGAATTCAATTAGTAACAGTGCATCTTGCCAAAGGGACGCCTAAGGCAGTAGGATCTGAGAAATATGCAACTCTGCAAGTTTTTAACAAGTGCTGATTCCTGTGTGCTGGTAGCAACAGGAGACTCTAGTTCTCTGTGGCTTGTTCACCTCACACCTGACTGTATTAATGCAGGCTTAGTGACATGCATGAGCGCAGAAGCAATCACCTGTTCTTACCTTGCTGTTTGTTATTACAAGTATAGTGCAGCAGAAAAGACAGCACTTCCTATTGGCCAATGCCGTGCTGCTCTTTTAGGAGTCTGAGCACATTAGGCAGCTAATCTTTGCAGTGTGCATCTCAGGGGCATAAAGATAGACAGGCGTTATGGATTGCATAGCACCTGCTTGAAAGAAACAATACTGAGTGGATAGGTCCCAGTGGAAGAAGCTGTGAGTGAAGAGGGCCTGTCTGTGAGCTGATAAAGTGTGTCAAATACATGCCAGGAATATGTATTCTGCACTTCATACACAAGCTTCATGCTTCTGAGTCCTAAAAAGGCAAGTTAGTGCAGTGGTAGATTCTACCGTAGTTCAAGGTATACACTGTGGACCATAGACACTTGGAACGAAACCTTATGTCATGCAACATCTGTGACACCTTGCTATTGCTGCATTTGCTCATTACCTTATCGACCAAATAAAAGGTGCGTCCACTCCTCTCCACTCCACGCGGCGCTGTGTGCACTCCCCACGGCTGCACTTGCACGGCTGGCTCCCCCTTAGCAACAAGCAGCGGGCAGGTCCATGGTGTAATTGGCAGAAGTGGAGAAGAAGGGAGGAAGACAGTGAGGACGGAGGCAGTCAAGCGGCAACAAGGGAGACGGTCACTGCAGTATACCTCCTCTTCTTCCTGAAAAGTCCTGGCCGGCCCCGGCAGTTGAGGAGATCCTCACATGTCGTTTGAAAACCCACCCCCCCTCTCGCTGTGTGCATGCGCTCCAGCCAAAGAGAGTGTGAGGGGAGAGAGAGAGGGTGATGCTGTGTAATAGCAAGTTGGAAACCAGGGGGAGGGATGAAGGAATTAGAGAGAGTATAAAGGAGAGATGGTGTGTGTATGTGTGGAGACGAAAGCAGGACAGAGGGAGGGTAGCACACTGCAGCAACACCAACTGATGATGAAAATAAGAAACAGTTCATTAGGACAATGTTGAAATGCTAATGCAAGAATATTATAGTGTCTGGGCACACAGATAGAGGCTATAAATATCCCCTGTGAAGGAACAAGCTTTTTCCATTTGCATGTACAGTGAGTGTGTTTGAAAGAATCCATTGCATCATGTTGTAAAAAGACGGACAGAGCTACATGCCAGGCTATTCTCCTTCATAAAAAGTATAGAATCATCCAAGCTTAAATGGCAACCCCTGAACGAATGGACCTTTTCTGCCTACCGTAAATGAGATCCCAAAAGCCCCTGAGGAAGATGCTCCACAAATACACAGCATGGCCAATTTATGAACGCATGCATGCACTGTGAGCACATAGACACACATGGACAGGCACGCACAGCTGTTGATGTTGACAGAACCAGTTCACCAGTTATCAAAGACGCATCTTGCTCACATCTCTCCAGTGGGCCTCTCCTCTCTGCTGTTCATCCTTCTGCTCCCTGTGCTGGTTTGATGTTGTGTGCACTCCCCAACACAAAACCATTAAAATATGGACCAGGAATGGTAAGATGTCTCTTTTTCTCAAGAAAAGGGCTAAAAGATCTTTTCATTTCATTATTGGAACTACCTGTTTAGAAGAAAAATACAAACAGGAACCAGAGCATTTTCAACAAGAGAAAAACTGTTGTACTCAGTATTTACCAAGAGAAACCGAGGCCACACAGGTCCTTGTGAGTTGCGTTTGCATTAAAGTGTGAAACTATCTGCTGGCCTATGGTATTGAGTGTGTTCTCATACTTTTAGCAGAGTGGGCTTGCCTTATACAATACACTATAGCCCACCATCCCCCATATTATGAGATTGTCTATACACCACTAGCAAATAACAATGTATATAAAAGGTCCCTCCCCCTCTGATCACCACTCCAGTGACCTATGAGCAGCATATCTTGTAGTATTAAGGAGAAGCAGCCATAACAAGGTGGCAGACAGGGCCAGCAACCAACAGACACACACAACACTAATCTGCTTTATAAGGGGCCAGGCCTGCCATAATCTGAGTTAATGCGAAATTACTGAACTGCCAGTTCACTGCTGGATAGAAACATCAGTACAGTCACGATCACCAAGATTCTGATGTAGCTTACTTTGAAGTGTAGATTAGATATTTGTTTGTTTGCAGTGTTGTATGCTGGTCTATAAAACAGTTCTGGCTTTATTTAACGACAAGCACCCTTGAAAATACTAAAAGAAATAGCTGGCTAATATATAGGCACCATTTGCCTGAAACACTTCTCCTGCATGTACAGGACAAACTTTGGTGTAGATATAGACAAACTGACAGTTACTTCTCAGCTGCACAACACTTAATCTCTCACTAGGACATCTCCCTCAGGTAACACTCATCCATCCTGCTCTGGCTTCCCTTTGTCAGGCCCAAATGCTTTGTGTAAGGGCCAAGTGGAAAAACAGCAACTCTTTGTTAATCACAAATAATAGCAGGAATTGCAGGACACGGACAGGTATCAGATTTCTGTTTGGGCCATCTCAGATTAACAAAAAATAAAAAAAAATTTAAAAACACAGAAAATGTAATTCAACAAAATGTCTTTAATTGATATAAACATTTGTACACATCACAGCTCAATGGAAACAATGGACAGTTATAGCTCCAAGACTCATCTTCTGAGTCCAGCTCATGGTCTAGTCCCATTTAATCTCTCTATTCTTTAGGCTCTCACTCCACTCACTACACCCCAGCTACAAAGCTTCAAAAATACATCAAAAATAATCATAGAAAAAAGAATGAAGGTGCAAATTCTGATGATTATTAAATCTCTGCTTATTTACACTTGCACAGTATCTCAAATAAGAAATAAAACATCTATTAAGTGTGTGGTAACGAGAAACCAAATAAGTCAGGTCGAGCTATGAGGCTTTTTACACACTACAGGTATACTGTAGAAGTCCCATACATACATTTCACCATGTATTTCAAATGAACAGCAACCATGTAGGATCCAGTTGTGGATTTAAAGCATGCTATGGACTGAACAAAGGTTAGTTCCATGTAGCATTTTACATGTTTGTCAGTTCTTGGCTCAATAATCCATAGTTTTGGTTTTGTCTACATGCAGATACTTGGCCATTTTGAAGAAAATATGTTATGTATTTACATATTTTAAATTCTGTATGGCACCTTTAACGCTTTGTTTTTATTATATATTTCTTAGCATCAGCATATGAACTGTAGTCCTGTACATTTTCAATAACCCTCTGAAATTTCACAGGCTAGTACAATCTTTACACAGTAAATACACACAGATGCTATAGGCTTTACATTGTGTAAAGTGTGTGCTATTTAAAGAGTCTGTCTGTGCAGCTACACTGTGATCACACAGTATACGGACATCTCATATATAGCTTTATCATTTGAGTAGTAATAAAAATAGTCAGTGCTCTTTTCACTGAAGGATTTAAATTATTTCTTGACACAATTAATTCCTAGAAAGTGTCTCCCAAAGGAATGTTGTATAATGTTTCCCAACTCATGCATCAATTATAGCCATTCTAATTTGTTTCTTAAATGAAGCTTAGCTTGTAACCTTGTAATTAGGTTATCTAGGACTGTAAGGAGGACAGTACATGACTCAGTGATGGGAGGGTAGTACATGCCAGGACTAGTCATTCCCCTTTATGCACCAAAACACTGCTGTTCAAATCACATAGAATAAACAGTATGGCAGAAAGGTTTGAGTTGGCACAGGTTGCTCATGTCCCACATCACTGATGGACCATGTAGTGTTAACACTGGAGTTTAAGGTGAGTTTGAGTAGTGATCAGGCTCACAGTGGTGTTAGTTCATGTCTATGGTGTTAAAGACCCACTCAGTGAACTTTTTGAGCTTGGCTGAAGCACTGTACGACTCCTCTAGGAGACGATGGTTATCCTCACGCAAGCTTTGGACCTGCATTTGCAGTGATGCCTTTGCGTCTTTCTCCTAGGAGTAACAAAACAGAGCAATATTAGTACATTCTTACTTTTTGTTCACTTGAAAAAGGAAACAGC